AAAGGATGCTAGGCAGTGCGGGGCTCTGTTGTCTCACTCGTGCGAGTTCCTTTGGAGCCTGGGCAGTGGGAGACTTGAGAATCGCAGTCGAGTGGCATCCGTAGCGCCTCCTAGCACAGTGTGTTCTGGAACTGCCTGGCTTCCGCAAACCGCACTTCAGAAGCTCAACTGGCGAAGCCAACCGAAGGAAAAAAACAGATGCAGCGCTGAAGGAGTGATTTCACATTGGCGTACATTTCCAAGTCGTGTTTTGGGACGTGGGGGGAGGGGGACCGACCCTAATAGGAGAAAAAGTCTATTCCCGACCCCCCCCACGACCCCCCCCAAAATAACCAGGGGCAATACCCTTAACTTCTAAAATCCAAGCCGTCAACCAAGAACCCTCAGTTTCTCGAGGGCTTCAGTTATAAGTTATAAGCTAGGGTTTTCATCGACAATTATACGTATACCTAAGTAGCCGACCATGATTACAGTACCTGCTCTGTCTTTCAGCAGCGGTGGTGAGCAACTGAAGTGTCAGTGGAGCTCCCAAATTTGGACATGTGTTGGCATGCCTTCATAGTGAAGTGAAGGTGGAAGTGCCGTTTGAATTGGCGCGGGCCTATCATGAATACATGGATCCGGGGGGGGGTCCCAGGTTGCACAACTGAAATACCCTTCAGCTTGTACGGCGACGAGTGCTGCTTGAGCTGTTTGGGTTTATGGTTAAGGTCAGACCCTCACGATAAGGTGCTGGCTGCTTGTATGTGCATCCTTCTGTTTCGTCCCAGATCCGTTCGCCAAGGGAAGTTTTGATAGCTGCGACACGGCACGACCTCGCTTTGGAGGGCGACATGAGAATGCTGTATCCAATCCTGGAGCATATCATATTGTCTGCCAGCTGCATTCGAAGGAGTGCACCCCTTCAAGCGATACGACGGTGACCGCTTTCTGCCTCGAATCAGAACGTGGCCGGTGCACCGCTGTTGGCGTTCCCAGAGTCCCAGTATGGCCGCAGGACGCCACTTCTGCAGCAGCGAAATCAAAGGGGATTTCAATTGGTTGGAAAAAGTGCCACACCTGTTTCCAACCCTTGTGAGTAAGACGCCCTGCCACAACCTAAACTTAAACATCCCCAAACCATGAAACCTTTTTCGGGACATTTTCGATCTCTTACAGTAGCGACTCTTTTTCGAGGTTCCGCGCGGACCCGCTTGGACCTACTACTTTTCAGGATTGAGGCGATTGTTTAGGATTCGGGGTTTTAGGTTAAGGGTTTTAGGATCTAGAGTTTAGGGATCGCTGCTTTCCGGAAAGCTTCATGGGCGGGTTGCCACCGTCCACTAAAACCCCGAAGCCCTAGCCCTACCCTTGCTGAATCTATGATCTCCTCCCGGGTTGTCCTTTGGGATCTTTTTTCATTTCCTCTACTATTTTGTTGAGAACCATAGTAGTAAATGATTTTCAAAAGGCTTAAGGATAACTTAGCCTCAGACTAAACTCCAAACCGTCTTCAGACTGAAGAACCCAAAACCCTGTAGACACTCAGCCCCTAAACTCTACGCCCCCAAACCCCTAAACCCTTAAGCCGCTGAGGGCCTAACCCCTGGACCCGCCTTCAAATATTTTAGGATGCCCAGTACTACCCTTATTCCCTTTTTGTAATCCTAGGTTCCTTATAAAGGTACCCAATACCAAAAAAGGGAGCCCCTTTTTTCCTAGGTTACTGGGCATCCTAGTACTAGACCTGACACTGAGGCTCAAGGAGCACTCGGAAGCGCTCTTTGTCCATCGCATCATCCAGGACTCTTTAGAGTTTGGCTTTCGGGTTTTGGGGTTTGGGGACGTTTAGGGTTCAGGGCTTTGCGAGAATCCGAGGAAGGTGGAGGAACCTCCTCACCAGCCACTACAGTAAACCCCGAAAAGTTGGAAACTGGATTAAGGCCAAATAGTGCTGGGATTACCCATACATTACTCTTCAGGATTGAGGCTATTGGGTTTCCAACTTTTGGGCTTCTACTGTAATGATCTAGAAGATTTGCGCGACCCCATTCACGATGGGAGACACAGAGCTGGAGGACGGGAACGCAAGCAAGGATCCCACTTGCTCGTGACCTACGCAACTTTCTTCTTTAGGGTTCCCTAGTATCTTCCCAGTATAGGCCCAAAAACGGCCCCATAGAGCTCTTCTCTACAAGCCTAGAAGACCCGCCACAGCCGAACCCAAGGGTGCTTGTGGGCACTGCCGGCATCAGCGAGCCTGAATCTTAAACACAAAGCCATTTACCTTAAACGCCAGACCCTAAACTTTAAACCCTGAACCCTTTCTCAATAAGATCCCTCCTCAGGAATATTCAGTCAGCAAGACGTTTCTTCAGAGTCCGAGAGTGCGTGCTAAAGCCATTCAGCAGGATGCAGAACAGAAGAAAGCGGACTGCGCGGCTGCCTTTGACAAGGTCGGCCTGGGTGTGCACTGGGATGTCTGTACGTTTCTAGAAAGGTTTCTTTAGGAGTTCCAGTCTCACTGTTATGTTTTTGAACTATCTGCTGTAGGGTTTAGCAGCTTGGGCTTCAATCCAACGAGTAGGGCTCTGGGAGTTAAGCCTCAGTCTTTTGGTAGGGTTCGGTTTGAGGGTTCACGGCCTTCGTGTGTCAGCTTCAATCTTTTGGCCTCTTGGATTCTGAGGCTTCCAAGTACTGCAGAACCAGAGTGTGCTTGCGTTGAGATGACAAAGACCTAGTAGTCGAGTGGGCAACCTTTAACCTTTTTGGATGCTTCTTTGAAGTTGACTCCTTATCCCCGCGAAAATCTGCGATTATTGTCATCTTACGGGTTTACCAATGTTGTTCCCTCTTTGAAATCCCGACGCAACCTCCTTTCAGGGTCCCACGTTCGACACCTTCTTGAATCCATCATAGTGCCGGGAGTCCGAGTCCTGAAATATTCGTATCGCATCCCCCAAATCACGCCTCGTCCGTTGCCGGCCTGCTTCCCACAACACTTCTGAGCTTAATTCGCAAATTCGCGAAGCTCGTCTCACGCCTTTCGCTGGGGACGCAGCTTATTCCACGTCGCGCTTTAACCTTTTTGGGGTAGTATTGTTCCTATATAATCCCTATTTAACCAAGAAGGTTCACCTTTAGTTCCCCATGATACCCGACAAGTAGGAAGAGGAGTTTCGGCTTAGTTAGGGAAAAGAACGCGGTAGTCCAGGCGTGATACTTGTAGACGAACAGCGCGGGCGTTTCTGTTGATCCTTCTAACAAGTGTAGACGGAAGAGCACAGTCATAGTCACCGTATGCACAGGTAAGAAGTTGCAGAGCGAATGCTTGAAGCGGGGGGCCAATGTCTGTACACATAACACGTAGGTCGATGATTTTGCATACCCGTGGTATCAGTGCTGAAAGGCGAGAGAAGAAACACTGATGATGGTTATGGTGATGATGATGATGTTGATGATGATGGCGATGATGACGGTTTTATGATGATGATGATGATGCTTGATGATGAGGAGGAGGACGGGGAAAGGAGGAGGAAGGATGAGAATGATGACGGCTCACAGACTCTAAGATTTCACATGTGACTTACCACCATCACCAGAACTGTTTTCTGGCGAGTTGGGGGCCGAAATCCGTCAGCCTTGAACATAAACTCGACACTGTTCGGGTCTGCTTGTTGTAGGGCTTAGTTTCAAGTGTTTGGGTCATTGGTCCAGAGGTGCGGCGAATCTTGGCTTTGGGGGTTTTCTTTGGGTGTTGAAGCTGCGCTCAGATGGAACATCTAATGCTTCATGGCTTACATGCGATGAGCTGGCTCTTTTTTATTCACATGCTGTGCTGTAGGTGCTCTCGCATACGTATCTTCTTCTTAAAATAGGGGGGCATGGGGCCGACTCCCCTCTTCGACGGGAGTCGGCTTTGTGTTTGGAGCAGTAAGCCCTATGTCAGTCCGCAATTCGAGATTTCTTTTCAACCCGGTTTCAGATCTGTCCTGGCTCTTCCATCCCTTTGCGATTCTGCAGCCACCTGCAGATGAGGCTGTCCAAGGCAACATTGCACATGCCTTTAGTGAGCCGACTCCTGCCACGTTGATCGAAGATGCAACTTCGATGACTGCAGCACTTATGGCTGCATGGGCCGCCGAACTCCAAGTTCGTTTCAATAAAACAGCAGGACAGGTTTGGGCTGATGTGCCGCCCCGCTTTTTGACCAACTGCCTGCACCGTCGAAGTTCAACTTCTCGACCCAAACCCCTAAACTGTAATTCCAAAACCCTGCACCCTTAATCACGAACCCGCCCCCCCCCCTCCCCCGAGCCTTTAAGCCCTGGAGGCCCTGAAGATGCATTACTAGCAATGAACCCTTATCGTCCCCTTAATTCAAAATTCTACTAGGACCCTACACCCGTAAACCCTAACCCCCTAACCCCTAAACCCTGAACCCTAAACCCCTAAACCCTAAACCCTAAAATAGACCACCACACCCTGGATCTGATTACTAAGACCCCTCTAGCACAGATCGCTTAGACTAGGATGCCCAGTAGTACCCTTATTCCGTTTTTGTAGTCCTAGGTTCCATACAAAATTACCCAATACCATGCAGGGAGCCCTTTTTATTCATAGGTTACTGGGCATCCTATCGTAGTTTAGAAGCCCTAACGTCTCCTTTGTGGATCCCTTTGAAGGAACCTTCTTCTCTTCATCAAGTCCGCGAAATCATAGCAGCCTCATAGTAACCCTTTATAGGAACCCGTGTAAGGAGCCCTATTCTACTTATGAAGGCCCCTATAATCGATATAAGTAGATCATAGAACCCTTACACTAACGCTTTAAAGGCACCCGTCTAACGAACCCTTGTCTATTCATTAAACCCGAATCCGTAAACCCAAACCCTATAAGGAACCCCCTGAAAGGAACCCTGTTCTACTTATGGATCCCTTTAAAGGAACCTAGTCTATTCATTAAGCCCCCAACCCTCAACCTCAAGTTACCCTATTCCACTTATTAAGGCCGTTATGCAGGTATCCAAGCGCCCCTGGTCTGAAGTCGACCTGGAAGCCGCCGAGGTGGACGCTTGAACGGCGGGGTTTAGGGTTTGGGGTTTAGGGTTTTGGATTTTGGGGTTTGGTGTTTAGGGGCTTAGGGGTCTGGGGTTTAGGGTTTAGGGGTTTTGTGTTCGGGGTTTGGGGTTCAGGATTTCAAGCCAGTTCGAGCATTCACTAGTCAAGCTCGGAACTCTGTTAGCGAAGATCTACTCACCCAATACGAAGCACATTGAATCCCCACATATCCTGTGCACATTCTCTGCGAAGGACGCGGGTTTGCAAAGCTTAGGAGACTACACCATCATCTCTACTACCACTACTGCTATTGCTACTACTACTACTACTACTACTACTACTACTACTACTACTACTACTACTACTACTACTACTACCACGACTACTACTACTACTACTACTACTACTACTACTACTACTACTACTACTACCACTACTACTAATTGTTACTACTACTACTACTACTGCTACTGCTACTGCTACTACTACGACTACGACTACTACTACTACTACTACTACTACTACTACTACTACTTCTGCTGCTGCTACTACTACTACTACTACTACTACTACTACTACTACTACTACTACTACTACTACTCCCTGCTGCTGCTACTATCTGGATACGACAGCGAAGCGGTGCTGATATCTGAAGCTGAAGCCCAGTCGGGAATCAACACATACCCCAAAGCCCACGCAGGCTAGCCCGGAGCACTGAAGCCCAACCCGGTCATTAAAGGTCTGTCGGACTTGGTAACCAGGGTTATAAATAAGGTAGCCGTACTTCTAAATTCTTCTAGCCTCGAATGAAGGTAGCTATAGCCTTACTTGCCAAGTCCCATGACCCTCCAAGTAGTAGGCCCTAAACCTGAGGACAGGGACCGGGGGGCAGGTTTGCGTCCGAATGATGCGGCTTTGGGAATGCACTGGGCTTCTTGCTTGGCTTCCCAGATTGCAAGCGACTGCTGTCGGAAGATCTACAGCTACCTAATGGAGGGGCCGCAATAATTAGAATAGGGATTTTTGGGGGCAAGGGCCCATCATTATACTATAGTTGTCTATAGTTACAATACGGAACGCCCAAAAAGCGTCGGTAATGATTAAGGCCCCCTATAGTAAGTACCTTGTTGGTTCAGAGGCTTACGACTTAAGCCTCACGGAGCGAGCGAGCAAATTGCAAACCCGTAACCCGAAACCTAGCAGTAGAGTAGGTAACTTTTAACCTGTTTTGGGGTAGTATTCCCTGAAAAATCCTTTTTTCGCCAAAAAGGTTAACCTCTAGTTCCCCATGATACCCGACAAGTAGGGAAACCTTACTCCCACACCCCTTCCAAGGTTGGAAGTATGGGCCCCTTATATGGACCTAGGACCTAGGCCCTTTTGCGGGGGTTCTAGGGAGCCTTAAGAGTCTTTATACAGGGAAAATGGCGGTATATAGTAGGGAAAGAAGGATCCCAAGCTTAAGGGCCCATACTAGGGGCCCATGGTTTCAACCGGAGAACCCCCCTTGTTCGGTTAACCAAAGTGATCGATATCATAGGGTCCTAATCGTAAAGTTTGTGAAAGATATTAAAGGAACTACAGTGGAGACTAGAGGCGGACTCTTAAACCGCCAATCATATAATCTGTTAAGCAAAGCAAAAGGATTACCATGGAGACTAGAGGCCCTAACTCTTAAACCGCCAGGTGGGCCGCCTACTCACAGAGTGGGAGAAGTCGATCCAGGCACTGTGGGGCTGAAGGGTCTTCGTTTCAAGGATCTGGGCAAGCATCTTCTGTCATAATCCTCATAATCCTTATATAACTTAACCAAGCCCTAAACCACAAAACCCCACACCCACGAAAACTGTTTGCGGGAGGGGGAGGCTTCAAAGGATGTGAGGGCAAAGCTCCTCACAGACACAGTCTCCCTCGATGCTATCTGTTTGAATCCGTTGTCTTACTGCTGCTGTTACAACCAGAAGTTGGTGTATGCTTGTATTGGTTTGCAATTTTCTGGCGGAGTGGCTTCTGAGCTCTATCTTTATGGCTGCTTGTAGCAGCTGCATGTACTCGAGATGGCGATCACGCGATAGCAATTCGACAGTTAGTCGGAGCATCAGCCGCACAATGTCAGTAGAAGAGAAAAGCCGAGAAAGAAATAGCAGTCTTTAAAACGAAGGCAGCAATCATGACGTTTCTCGTGGTAACGACAGGGCGACAGAACACTGTCTTAATTATTGTACCATCATAAGCACCCTCGAAGGAACCCTTCTACTGACAAGCCCGACCAGGGAACAGAGCCCACCCTTACCTGAAGAGCAACACGTTCAACACAGGGGCCTTAATAATAACCTATACTACTTCGGGGGTTCCTTCATATAATTATAGTATATTGGGCCAATTATAGTATATAGGGCCCCCGCAAAACCCGATTCTAATTCTTAAGGCCGCTGTATTACGAATATATGACTTGAACTTTTTGTTGGCTTGTTATGACGACTTCAGGCACACAGTTCAAGGTGCTCAGGATCCCTCCAGGTTCTAGGGTCTACTTGAGGCTATACTCCTTACTGAAGAAGGGGCCGGGAATCTCTGGACAGACCACCATCATGCTGGCTTCGAGCGCGAAAACAGATGTGGCCATGACGCTCGGCAGCAAACCTGAAAGAGCCCTGGTGCCTTGGATAGTTGCAGCGGCCTTAACATTCCCTAGGGCTCCGGTTGCTTAAAAGTAGGTTACTACCATGTATACTTCAGTAGTAGGTTACACCATGGCCTGGCGATCTACTCAGACGAACCCCCAGTTCTCTGACAAATTCGGGCTCCTCCTGAGCAAGGTGCCCCACGCCAAGGCTGACACCCTGCTTTGAGCCAACAAGCTTGTACGCGAAACCCGAGGCAACCTCGAACAGGTGCTGACGTTCCACCCCTTTGGCTCGCACGGGCAAGAGGTTTCAGCAGTGGTCTGGGCCGACGCGACAGAGGGGAACTGACCAAAGAAAGGAAGTACCGTCGGTGTGGTCGGCGCCCTGGCTCCAAAGACTGTGTTGTCTGGTGGGCAGGTGCCTTTGAACGTGGTATACTCTGCTCATGCAATACCTAAGTAGAAGGTTAGCTTAAACCCTAAACCGTTTTGTAACCCAATAACCAATAACCCACTATTCTGGGGTGACTGGAGCCCCAGGGATTCGTGGTCGGAGAAGTCCAATTAGTAACTTCGAGCATCATTAGACGAATATAAGGACCTAAGCATTTACCAATACTATGTTTGGGGTGTTCATTGTTATATGTACAGCATGATATACACCAAAAGTTTTATTTCTAAGGCTCCTATTTAGTAATCCTACTCTTACGGCCGACTACAAGACTTGCAGCACTGGAGGCAGTTCACCGCAATCCTCATAGTACGCAGGTGAGTAGCAGCGGCAGCAATACGTACATCGTTGTCACAGCCGTACTGCATGCATTCGCCGCAACAGTAAGACAGCTCCCACTCCGAACCGGTGTTGTAAGAATGGTTGTGCTTGCATATGCACGCGGGATTCAAATTGGGGTTTTGGGAGAGCAAGCTACAGGACGATTCATCTTTCCTTGATGTGTGTATGGTAATTATTCCTTGGGCAGGTTTGTGTAATGCCTCCAGAAGCTTTCAGCCTCTAAGCTGCACAGAACCTGACTCATGTCAGTTCGAACCCTGCAGGCCAATGGTGTCGTTGTGGTGGCTCCGGTCGACGATTTCCCTGATACACAACATTGGTGCTTCTGGAACAACAGGTCAGGATACTCCATGTTCGGTGGCTTGTGCCCCGGCGATGGCGGAGTGAAGCTGCCGTTCCACACCAACAGCAACATGCCCTTCCAGTATGTTAGAGTGTATCCCGGCACTTGGGTTCACATGCTGAAAGCTGTTGGCTTTCCATCCAATGCGGTGCCAGTGCTTGCGTGGGGCTGACCAGGATCCAGCAGGAGGTCGAGCAATCGAATAAGCTCTTATCGAGACGCGCACACGACTTCCGAGGCGCGTCGGCTTGCCCAGGAGTTGAACGAGTACGTCGCAGTCACGGTTCGAGAGAACATACCGGCTGTCGTCTTGCGCGAACACTTTGAACCAAGGGGTCTTCCGATGTCCACGGAGAGGATACCCAGCCGGAGTCGGTGTCCCGAAGAAACAGCAGATTCTTGCAACGACCCTTCTCCGACCGACCCAGGTCGGAGGCGGATCCGTCGGAGCCCTCCTCCGAGCCCGAGGAGGAACCCGACACAGGCAACGTTCATGGCACGATTGCGACGTATCATTATATGAACCTGTGCGGCACACTTCGCATGCCCTATTCCGGACTGGGTATGCTCCTCAATCCTTTTGCTCATGTCTGTTTCCCGCAATCTCAGGACTCATGGGAGAGTTATGCCTTCCCACCGTTGTAACGGCGTGGTGCTGCCCGAGTTAGGAACTCAATAACAGCCATGCTTCATTGCAGTATACACACATGACGCGCAGCTTCCTGTAGGCGTACGGCGCTTGCGCGTCTCACATTCTGCCACGTGTTCTCAACCTAGACTTAGAGCTTTCCTCTGAGGTCTGGCACCGTCGGTGTCGTCGTGCATTTGAAGAAAAGCAGCAGTTGCACCGCGCAAGCCAGTAACGACCGGTGTGGCGTCGGTGACAGATTCAGCTGAACATGTCGCTCCCCAGCTCGACGGAGTTTGTGTTGCACCGTTTTTTTGTTCAGGAAGCCTGAAAACCGCACACCCCAATACGTTAAAGCCTTGCAGGCTACAATAGTTAGGGACCCCGAAAGGACATCAGCATAAGCTTTTTACTGGGACATATTGGGTTTCAGTATTAAAGGGGGTTTACATGACATAATTATACCTATCCGAATTCTTGCTTATATGATGTGTTGCTTTTGGGGGCCCCCGAGCCGGCAATCCGGATCTTGTTTTTGGGGTCTCTAGATGGCTGCCTGCGCCCACGCAGAGTCGAGGTTTAGGGGTTTAGCTTTTAGGGGTTTAGGGCTCGACACAGAGTCTTGCACTTCGGAGATGTAGGGTCTGGGATTTTCAGGTTTTCGGGCATTCGAGGCTTGAAGTCTAGGACCAAGACCCTGGGGTTTGGGATTCAGGTTTTTAGCGATTAGGGTTTAGGGGCCAACGGACGGGAGTGCCTTCAGTCCTCCGAAACCTTAAACTTCGAATCCTTAACCTGAATACCCAGAGAACCCAATACCCCTTAATTAAGGAATATACCTTAAATTATAGAGCCGTTAATATTCTGATTTTAGGTATATTTCCTGAATTAACGGGTATTTGGATCTCTGAATACCCCGGAGCCAAATGACCTTAAATATAGGGCCCTGCATATCTTGCGAAACTAATGTCGTACCCAAGGAAGCGCCTAGCACTGAAGCGCATCACCTCCGACGTGGGTGTGAAAGGGCTCGAGGCCCCGATGGGGTTTAGTGCTCAGGGCGTTCAGGGTTCAGGTGTTTAGGGTTTGGGAGGCTTTGATTAAGGGTTAGTGGTTGCAGTGAGTCCACGAAAGTGCATCACTGGAATCGCAAGTCGGCAAGAGGCAAGACGGGTGGATTGAACATTTTTAGGGCTGCCCGGATATATTTGGAGGTTCATGAGTAGCTATAAGTAGAGTTTTAAGTGGGGTAACGGTACTTCTAACCCATATTAGGGGACGTATAATCCTACTTCTAACTACCCATGGTAGTACGTTCCGATGCTGCGGATCGTCGTTGGTCATTTGAACGACATGGCGTTCGTGAGGTTTCGGGTTGACTTGCCGTGGGTAATTATGCAATGTTTTACGGCTAAACTCCCAAGGCCTACGTGCCAGATTCCGGGCCCTTTAAAGGAAGACCCGGAATCCTAATAGTATCCCGCATATCCCGTATCACTGTATATATATATGCCAAAACCGAATGCTAAAGCAAGACCTTGCAAAACCGTAGGGAAGAGGAAAGGGATATATCCCCGGCTGCGATTTGATCTGTTTCAACGTGTATTTATCAGGCGTCCAACAAGTTTTATGTTGTGTTCCTACTTATTGGGGTTACGTTGTTTGTGTTTTCCAGGGTTTGATTAGTCGTAGCCGTAGCAGCGGTAGTCGCAGTAGCACTAGTAGTAGTAGTAGTAGTAGTAGTAGTAGTAGTAGTAGTCGTAGTCGTCGTAGTCGTAGTCGTAGTCGTAGGCGTAGTAGTAGTAGTAGTAGTAGTAGTAGTAGTAGTAGTAGTGGTAGTGGTAGTGGTCGTAGTAGTTGTAGTAGTAGTAGTAGTAGTGGTGGTAGTAGTAGTAGCAATAGTAGTAGTAATAGTAGTAGTAGTAGTAGTAGTAGTAGTAGTAGTAGTAGTAGTAGTAGTAGTTAGTAGTTAGTAGCAGTAGTAGTAGCAGTAGTAGTAGTAGTAGTAGTAGTTTTGGTAGTGGTAGTGGTAATAGTAGTAGTAGTAGTAGTAGTAGTAGTAGTAGTAGTAGTAGTAGTAATAGTAGTAGTAGTAGTTAGTAGTTAGTAGCAGTAGTAGTAGCAGTAGTGGTAGTGGTAGTAGTAGCAGGAGTAGTAGTAGTGGTAGTAGTAGTAGTAGCAGTAGCAGTAGCAGAGCAGTAGCAGTGGCAGCTGGAACATGTGACCCTGCAGAAGCCCTAAAAGCGACCCCCCCGCCCCCAACACACTGAAACGTTTGAAGCTTCACCTCCACCGCCCAAGCACCTCCGAAGGCCTTGAACGGTGCAGCGGGTGAGGTCGAAGGTGGCCACCTCTTTGGGCAAAGCTTCGTCAATCACGGAGGTTCAAGTCTTCAATTTTCTTATCAGGTATCAAGGCCGGGATCATCAGGCATGGACATCATGTCGCCGCCCCCACTTGAGAACCATGTGTTTTCCGTGCTGCATTTTTCAGCGCAATATTCTTGAAGAAGGCTCTCTGGCATATTTCATGCAACAGAGCATCAATTTCCTGACAGAGTCTGGCTTTTAGCAGTCCTTACCCTAACGCCAAGAGAAGCCGTGCCTGTTGATAATAACCAGCATTCCGAGCATAAATTCCCAAACCTTTTGTCTTGCGTTTGTTCATGTCGCATGATGAAAAACAGAGGAACGCCGGCGCACACGCGCAGACAGAGACACTTCTGGCAGATACGTCGTTTACTCCTTACAGCTGCGCATGCACATCTTGAGTCATTTATTGTCCGAGGACATTTAAATGCACGAAGTCTTCTTTGACCTCGAATACGAGTGATAAGACTGGTGCACACACGCACATATGTGTTAAATATGTACATACATACATTTCGCAAAGAAGGGTATATACGTGTACACACATGTATGCATGGCTGAACTAGGCTGTAAGGCCCCTTTTTGCTAGCCAGACGTGGCAGTACACAAAGATACATCTATACATACATACATACATTAAATATATATATATATATATATGCTTTCACACACACACACACACACATATACACAAGCTTTCGAAATGCTCAAAATGCACAGATGTTCAAGCTAAGCAGCATATGCATATATATATATATATATATATATATGTATATATATATATATGTATGTATATGTGTATATATATATATATATATATATATATATATACTGCGCCAGGACGAAAGTTCGTCGCATCCGGTAGGTCTGCTAACACATACTTGCAAACCCCTTTCCCCCATAGACTCCTTCACGAAGTCGCGATGTCAGGCCCGGACCTCACTAATTCCTCCGTCGGAACAAAAAAACAGTGTATGTTCATTTTGGCATGGAAATTCCTCCGCTAGCCAGGCCACGTAAAATGCACTTCTTCGTACTCCGAGTCCTCCGCCAAGCAAAGACATGTTAGTGCGACAAAACTTTCATCCTGCTGATGTATATGTATATATATATATATATATATATATATTTGTACATATATATATATGTACATATATATATGTACATATATATATATATATATATGTGCATATGTATACAGATGTACACACATATGTGTATATATATATATATGTGGAGGTTTACATGCACATATACACATAGATGTACAATATATGTAAGCGCATATCCATCTATTTGTGGGTGGGTGGGTGCATGGGTATGAAGTAGCTAGACGCACAGGTTGAATTTACGAATATAACGATGTACATACATGAGCTCCCAACTCTTTATCTCTCTTGTTTTCTACGTATATGCACATGTGTACGGCTTGGTATTTATTTGTGAGTTGCTCGCACGTTATGCTCACTTGTGTGCGAGTCCATGCATGCGTTACTACACCTCTGCACCTAGTGGTGTTTGGAGAGAGAGCAAAAGAGATAGAGAGAGACAAAAAGAAACAGAGAGAGAGAGAGAGAGAGAGAAAGAGTTGTACAGATCTTTCAAGAACGAACATTCATACATGTATGCATAGGTCATGTACTTTTCCGTCAAGACACATTCATCACGAGTACTCCAGAGCCTGCAGTAGTTGTTCTTGCTGTTGCAGCTCGTAGCTTCGTGTTTGGGCAGGAGTTGGTTCTCGTTTGGCGAAGCTGAAAGCCAAAGTCGTGGAGGCAGCGACCTTGCGGTTTCAGGGTTTTGGGTTTGGGGCGTTTAGCTTGTCTTATGCTTAGTACGTTAAAAGCGGATTGAGACACCAACAAGGTTAAGGCCACCAAAACGAGGTACTACAATGCAAGGTCTAGGTAGGGTTTGGCAAGAAGAGACTCCCAGATGCCGTACCAGAGCTAGATGGCGGTATCTCAAACTCTAAACCCTAAACCTAAGGCGCGTTGGGATTTGGTTGTGTTGAGTTTTCAATGCAGGACCTAAGCTTGCCTTCATCAGCCACCAGAATGCTCGGCATCAGTTCTCCGTGAATGCCCTGGCCTGGTTTGGGGTTTAGGGCACGGCCTATACAGAAAGTCGTCTATGTCATTGCATACATTCTTACATGCACTGTATAACTGTTTAAACCCGGTTCCAGACAAAGGCAAGGGACACTGGGACCCTTCTTCAAGAATTTTCCAGAAACCGAAAACCCCTAAACCCCTGAACCCTTAAACGGCAGTGTGCAGGAGCGCCGGGCTCTCTTTCAGCGGCCACGTGAGGTGTCGAAGATGTCGCGAGGGGGCGGGGGTGAGGGAGGTTCAGGGTTTAGGCTTCAGGGATTAGGGTTTTCAGGTCCACACCCAAAAACTCCATCCCAAACGAGAAATCTTCAGTTTTATGCGCCGCCTCGAATCCCAGAAGCCAAAGACCCGAAACCAAAAGATGTCGACACCTTGAACCATCATAGTAGGGCTGGCTTCAAGTTTCGGGGATTTGGGCTCCGTAATTAATTCTGTTGGCGGGATTACCAGTGTCGTGTTCAGGGTGTCCTGATTCGGGGTTTGGCTTGAATGGGTGTAAGGTTAACTATTTAGGGTGCAGGGTTTAGCATTTTGAGTTGCGTGCCTAAGGCTGGGTATTGGAAGTGCGGGGTTTACGGCTGCGAGGTTGGGGGTTTCAAGTTTGACAGTTGAGGCGCAGGGTTTACATTTTTCGGGATTGTGGGTTTAATTGAACATTTAAGGTGCAGAGCTCAGGTTCTGTTTTGTGGGTTGTGGGCTTCACGCTTAATGCATAGAGCACGTCTTTAGGGTTGGGATGCCGGGCGCAAGGACCATTTTGTCAGCATGCTTGGTGTTATTGGAGCTTCTGAACACACCTAGCAGGATTCCTATCGGTAGATCCCTGAACACACCCAAGATATATGAGAACTCTCCGGCGACATATTTCTGTAAAGTGACATTCGTGGTTGAGAATGGGATGCCACAGCCACTGCTGGGTTACTCCGCCCCCCCCGGGGCTGGAGTCTCCTTGTGCGTGTACAGACGCAGCGATCATCTGGAAAGACACCCGCCCAGACAACCCAATACCCCCTTTAATTAAGGAATGTACCTTAAAGTGTAGAGGCCTTAATACTCTGATTTAAGGTACTGGTATATACCTTAATTTAAGGGGTATGTATATGTGTATATATATATATATATATATATATATATATATATTGGGATCTCTGGGCGCTTCGACGCATGCCTGTGGATGGTGTGTGGTGCAGATGTTCGACTTCACACACCGTGATGCCCCTGAGAGCAATGGTTCGAGAGGCTTTCGAACGGAAGGCCCATTGGGATCCCATTGGCGACTTGGAGGGTCGGGGGACTTAGTAACTGGTTATTTTAGGGACTTATAAGTACCATCACCCCAATTAGGGTCCCTTCTAGGGTACCTATAAGTCTACTTACTAACTACTCACTAAGTCCCCCGACCCCCCCAACATGAGATGAGGGCCGGGCCAGTACCTGGTATGCCTGCAGCATGAACCCACAGGGCCCAAGTATCATTATGGTATATACTTATGGGGTATTTTGGGGGTCTAAGTATATACCATAATGATACTTGGACCCTTTGGGGAATATGGACGATGACAGCTACTGCAACATGTCTTGTCTGGGCGCAACTTGCTCAGTGAGGAAAGTGTCCATGAAGAAGCTTGCGAAGACCGCCTTCATAGACACCTTGTGGATCCCTTGACCACGCTTGCTCGGGATTTCGAAGTTCGGGGATTCAGACCGTACGAAGTATTTCTTCTATGGGCGCTGCAAGTGTTTTGTAAGGGACTTGTTGGGATTTGGGGTTTACCTATAGGAGATAGGGTTTAGGGTGACTGGGAGTTTCTGTTGTCGACACCATATTCAGCATATACACCCGCTAGAACTATTCTGTCTTTTTCTTTGACCCTACCCTCAACCCCATAAACGGTAAACCCTCATGTAATATTGCAGCCCTAACACTGCAATCAGTCAGATAGAATCCTGGGTTTGTGCTTTTAAGATCGTGTGGAGGCTGCTCAGAGCTAGGTTTCCCGGCATTTGGGACGTCTCTTTTCTGAAGATTTCGAACTTCGAGCTTTTATGTAACTTTCCGAGAGGAGTAGACAAATTGCATCAGCTCCGCGCAGGTGTCGTCTTGATCCCAAGGAGCCGCCCGATGGGGATTTGCGTGAGCCCCTGCCATGACTTAAACTAACTCAAGAATCCAACTCTTAACCCTCAAGCCATGAACCTGTCTCAATGCAAAGCTAAACCGTCAACCTTACTTGACTGATCATTCGGTAGGTTGTCATAAGAGATATACCCGATCATAACCCCAACTGAGACTTATAACCCTACCTATCACCTGGTTGCTGTCCCTAAACCCCAAAAACCTGCCAACAACTTTCACCCTCCACGCAGACACGCTCGCAGCAACGTAGCCATTGCTTAGCCCCCGAAACAACGAATGTCAAGGCGTGAGTCCTTGGAAATAATCAGCTTAATCCAATCACTTCATCAGATTGAAAATAAAATTAACAGATTTTTGAATTATTCAAGACATCCTCACAGATATGATTCCTTTTCGATAAATCGCGACATCAGCCTGCAAGATAAGATAATCTAATTGAATTCCTGAATATTCTATGACGATATATAATATATTTTTTCAAGCCGCGATTTGATTTATAGAAATTCCTAAAAATCAATATGTTAGAATATTTTTTTGAGAAATCAAAATCTAGAATGAGAATTTTCAGGATAGATATTTATATATTGATTCAATTTATTCGAGCGAATATTTATAGTATATAACGTTCTAAATAAGATTGATTTGATTAAAATTGGATTTCGATAAATTTTGATAAAAACAATATACGTGAATATTAAAAATTGAAATATAAATATATGATTTTATATTTATAGAATAAATCTAGATATTGAATTCTGATTTCATAAAATTCCCTCTATAAAGAAAAATTTTGATGAGAAAAAATATCGTTTCTATGATGGAAAATATATTATGAATTGGATATTACGATAATTAATATAATTAATAATGAGTTTATATTTCTATAATGATAAAAATATATCTCGGTCACGAAATAAATCTCGTATTCATTAATACTTTAAATAATTTATTATCTATTTCTTATATCTTCTTTCGCGATGTTCTTTTTATATTTATCTTAATTTGAATTATATTCGAATGAAATATCGATTTTTATTGAGATATACGAAATATTAATTCGCGCTTATATATTCATAATATTAATAATAAGATGGCGCGTTTATTTATCTGCCGAACGATATATCTCATTTATCTTTGATAGATTTAATCTTGAAGAAATATATATTTCGGATTTATATTTTTGAGAATTATTAGATTTCAAAATTAGCTACGATTAATCGCTCATTGAAATTATCTCCCGGAATACTTTCAGATTACCATAAGAATCCCTGGAATATCGAAGCCTATAGATTATCATGAGAATCCCTGGAAGGTCCAATTCCATAGATTATAATGAGAATTCTTAGAATACCCATCTCTATAGATATTCGTGAGAATCCCGGGGTAAATAACCTCGTAGATTGTCATGAGAATCATTGGAATGACCAATCTCGTAGATTATCGTGAGAAATCCTGGAGTGCCACATTCCATAGACTATCATGAGAATTACTGGAGTGCCCATCTCCATAGATTCCCCTGAGATTTCCTGGAATGCCCGATACCTTTTTTGGAATCTGCCGGGGCCTCGTAATCTCGAGACGTCATTTAAAATATATCGGATTCATTTATCCCAAGCAAATTCTATACGTATTCTTCTGATATATTTTATATAACAAAGAAATCGTAGCAGCCCGCGTAGCGCCAGACGGGCACGCTGCCCGCCGCATCATAATAATAAGATTTCATATATATATATATATATACGAAATTTCGATCTCATCGATACGAAAGATATTGAGAATAACGGAATATCGATCATTATATATTCATATCAATATCGGAATTAGCGATAATTTTAGCATCAATAGCAATAACAATTTTCAGCAACCTATTTCAGCCGTTCCGATAGCCAGAAATGTGATAATTCCAAGGTTTTCAAACATGGCTGCTGGCTGCTGGAAATAGGAACATTAATTTATAAATTCGAAGATTTTCGTAGATTTATAATTTCTGGATATCCAATGGAAAAAAAAGGAGATTTGAATTTCTAGTATATAATTCTATTTATATAATTCGTCAATCATATTAGGTCGGAGATAGATCTCGGCTCGCGATTAGATATTTTATTCTCCAGAAATACGGAAAATCTAAGATCTTTCAAAGATATTTATTGGAGAAATCAATTTTTCTCGTATAAATTGGTCATATTTTCAGGAGAATACGGGATTCTATCGATATCGACGTCTCTAATAGAAATTTAGGATATGATTTTGGATTACCAAGCTCTATTTATAAATTAATATATTAGATTATAGAGTCGGCGGCCAGAAATACGAAAAATCCAAGATTTTTCAAGGATGGATATTGGAGAAGGGCGTGTGCAGCGATGAATTCGATGATATTCGTAGATTTGCTGATCTCTATCAATTTCGATATTTCCAATAAATAATTAAGAAATCGAATTTCGATTTTTAATATATTTATCAAATATAGCATTAATATTAGGTCGTGGGGATATCTCGCGAATTTTCCCCCCTTGTAACG